GCCGCCCCGCCGGGCCGGTGGGGAAGGGAGGGCTGCGCCCGGGTGGCGGGGGCGGGCGGCGAAGTTTCTTCCCTTCCCTCTGGCTTCGGAGGTACCTGTTTGTATAATAATGGGTGGTAACGGTTTGGCCGGGGGCCCCCGCTCCGCTCTCCGTGCGTGTGTGACCAGCTGCTGCAGTCTATATAAGGAATTACATTTACATTTCAGACTTAGGGGCTGCTGTGGGGTGGTGTTTTTTCCCCTTTGGTACGTGTGTTACTTTAAGATGCAATGGGAAGATACACGGCGGGGGGAATAAAGACTCGTAACACCCACTCTCTACTTATTTTCTGGAAAATGGAGAAGTAGTTCGGTCCTCGTAGCACGACTCTTCGGAATAGGATGTAGACTAGGCGATTTTGTAACCCTCCTTGGCAATTTTGGGTTTTATGTGGCATTTCCTGTGCAGGGTCACAGATAGGAAGGCTTTGCCTGCCATCTGAGATGTTTTCATATGCAGTGAACAGTCTCCGAAATAGATCGGAGTCACGATCGGTGCTTCACCTCTCTAATCCTGACTGTTCAGGGTGTAAGGTGGTGATAAATGACGGCCTTTCCAGGGGCTAACGGGTTGGTTTGATTGTGTTGAACTTAAAAGGGTTTTCTTATTTTTGCTGTGTGTGTTTTCTAGCAAGTGTTCTTATTTGCACGCTCGTATTATTAATTCCTTGTTCTAATGTAAATATTTATATTTAGCTCATGATTTGGCTGTGCTAAAGGTAAGTTTGGAAAGTGCTTTTCTCTTTACCTTATTAAAAATGTGGATGATTAGAGAAAGGGGCTTTTCTTGTTGCTGACGACAACATGTGTGACATGTGAGTCTGAAACCACCCAGCGTCTGTGCAGGAGCTGTAAACATGTTTACCTGAACAGGAAAGAAAATGGATTTTTCTCTTAAAGATCCAGTGATGTGAATACTATACTCTTAAAGCATATCAACAGATGCCTTGAGAGAGAAATTTTCTGAAAACCTGGCTTTTGAAATCGACGGGAAAAAAAGATCCTTGATTGCTGCAGCAAATGGCAACTTGTGCAGGTAGAAAAAAAAGATGGTGTTTAGTTTTCTCCTGCATGCATGTCAGCCCCCTCCTGTCTGCTGTTTTCATTCTCAAGGGAGGGATTTATTTACCACGCTTGCTGTCAGTGTTTTTCCTTTGTGCTTAATATTAGAAAACCAGATTTAAGGCTGTTTAGCACAAACCGTTTTGTCTGCAGCGTGTATCACTTGCAGAAAACAAAAGGTGTATAAGATGTGGTATCATTCCAGGTATCTTTCATCTTCATCACTTTTGGACCTCATTGCTGCACCCACTTTATTATAGAAAGCCTCTGATTCTTTATCAACTAGTTCTGCAATGTAAAATGTAGTGTGTCTTGGTTTAGGCTGGTTTTGGCTCCTTTTATTGAGGAATTAAAACCAACTTAAGTCATTGTGCATTGGAGCATCGGGATTGGTTAGATAATAGAATCTGGATAATAGAAATTTCTCAGCAGTGGGTTTATGTTTGACTTGCAAATATTTACTGAAGAAAATGCATAGAAAAAATGTTAACCCTTTAACCTTTAAAATAAATAAGTATGAGGCTTTTTTTTTTTCTCAAAGTCTTTAAATGCGCTTGGTTCTTAGAAGTATCTTCTGTTAATGAGGAGTGGGCATAGGGGAGATGCATAAACAACTGGCTTGTTTGTAGTATAAGAAACAAAAGCATTTTTATGCTGTTTCCTCTCTAGTTTCCCACAGAATAGGAGATTATTACAGAGAGATTGCACTAAACATCCAGTGTGCCAGTTAATAATACTGGGCTATGGCATTGAGTTATTATACTGTAAACTTTTCTTCTTTTTACCTCTTGTAAAAAACTTAATATAGCTATTCTTACTTAATATAGCTATTCTAAACTTTTCTTTTGTTTTTTTCTTTATTTCCTCTGCTTTCTCTCTGTGTTTGGGAGCCATCCTGGTTCATTAACTCTATCTGGAAAGACAGTCTTACCTTCTTAACTCTAGAGCTGGTTCCTTTTCTACCTTGTTTATTGCTCCCTATGGGAGATCAGCAAAAAGCCGATTGGTGCTGCCATTAAAGCCTCCACTTACAAGGAAATCTGGCACTTCCTACCTGAAGAAAACTACCCTGTGTCATTGTCCTTAGTTCTGGCCAATACACAAAAACATCTGCTACAGCAGAACAGTTAACAAAGTGTTGAGATAATGTGATACACCAGAAACACAGCACTGGTAGGAAGTCTATCATCCTATCTACTTCTTCCCCTTCTCCCCCTCTTTTGACAGAAAAATGAAGAGGAGGAAAGAGACACGGTTTGGGTATTTTTTGCCGGTCATCTGCATAGCCACACTCTTGTGAGACTCCTGTGTAGACTTCAAATAGATTCAGTATCAGCAAAGGTTTTCTTATTCTGAGTTGGTTTGCAGTCAGGATTAATTGCTTTCTTAGCTTCTCTCGTGTATGTTATGGGATTGTCTCAGTTCTTGCTAAACATCAAAACTAAAAGTGACACATCTTGTTCTTCAGTAATGCTGTGAGATAAGTAAAACAAACAAAATATTTAAAACTTTCCTTCCAAGAGTGTAAAAAGATATCAACCTTAAGTATAGATGTTCTGAAAATAATGCAAGTATGCCTTCATGTTTTCACATGCATATTTAATGGTAAAAAGAAGAATGTTTGAGTAAATTCTGCACGCTGTCAGGTACATGTGAGGAGAAGGTATAAATAAGCCAGCCTTGGTCACAGTGAGTTCATTACCAAAAGGTTATGTAAATTGACTCATTAGAGTGCTATTTCAGTTGCTTTACAGTTGATGCTCCTCTCTTTTTATTTCTATTAGATAACAATTTCATATAAAATTTTGCTACTAAGCTAAGAACTGTAAGAAGACTGTAAGCCCCTTTGAATATGGCAAAAGCATATTTCTTTTAGCTCCGAGGTGTTAACTACTGGAAGGGTGTCAGGTGTTAGTGACACTTGGGATACAGCATTCCTGGTTGTGCCAGTCTTCTCTTGCCCATTGCCTTTCTTTTTTGCTAGGTATCATGTTTTAACTCTAGTGTTAATTTAAATTTGCAATTTGGGATTTGTGGAATGTAGCCCGAGTTAAAATTCCAGGCACAGTGAACAGGTCTACACAGACAACTGAATTAACTGTTTGAGACTAAGGAAACCTTCTCTCTTAAAAACAAGTAGTACTTCTGTTTTAATGTTAGCTATTGAAATATCATGTAGTTCTCTTAAAAAGGTCACTATCTCTTAATTTCTCTGTCAGTTGTGAAACAGGGTGTCTTAAGGTAATTAACTATCTGAAGCAGTTGGGGTTTTTTTTAAGGTAATTTGCTTCCTGAAACAGTTTGCTTTGCTTGTAGGGCTCTGTATGCATGCTGCTGAAAGGGTTAATGAAAAGTAGTGATAAGATGAAACTTTTCTTCTGACATGGGCTTCTCACTCATAGAAATCACTCAGTTTCTTTAGTTAGAAGTCTGAGGATTTGACTTCTTTGAATTTAGTCCAAATTTTCTGTTGAATATTTTCAGTTACATCGGATAGTCTCAGTGGGGAGGGGTTTCTGTGGATTTTGGGCTTTATGACAGGTCCTGTTAATTTGTGTTACTGACTTTGGTTGGGCCCTTGCTCTCTGTAAGCAGCTTGTCTGTGGACGGAGCAGGAAGAAGGGGTTCTACAGCTGTTCCCTGCTTCCTTCCCCACTGAGACTCCAGTTGTGGTATTAACCTGTAATTTCTTCTTGTAGAAGTTTTCCAGTGCTGGGGGGAGAAGCTGAAGCACTCTGAAGTCAAAATATCACTATAATACCTTTACTCATGTGGAAACATCAGTTTTAATAGAGTTTAAAATGCCATTGAGGAATGGTAGACATTTTTAACGTGTATAAGACTCTGTATTACTATGGTGAAGAAATAAAATTAACTTCTGTGAAACTTGGGTTGTAGGTTTTTTGCTTGTTGAGGTTTTTTAACTGATTTTTGATCATCTCTCTATTGCAGAGAAACTGCTGGAACTGCCTTATCTGGCCAAATGCCTCTTAAGCATCCCTGCTTCTAAATTCAGTCATTATTATTTACTAAAAATATAAACTTACTGCTCTCAAGTCATTAGCTGTTTGTAGTCACTTCACAAACATTTAACTAATTGATGTTGGAAGCTGAATGGAGTAAGTGTGCTTTGTCAACTGTAAACCAAATCTTTAACAGTACATACTGCATCTCTGGAAATCTTAAGGACTCTATGCATAATAGGTTTCAAATACCAACAAGTAGGGTTTGAAAACCAAAAATTACTCTGTTTTATGTAGGCTTTCATATACCATATTGCAAAGTAAAGTTCCAGGTTAACTTTCAGCTGATTAACATCGATATTTCTGAATTTTTGGTGGGTGTTACCTACATTTTTCAAGAAGACTCACACATAGGATCTTTTCTGTTTTGGATAAGTAAGCAGAACCCTGTCTTTCATTTGTGGTCTCAGAAACATTGGTGCTTCATTCTGGAAGCTATAATAGGCCTGTTACTTGTGAGAACTAAATTCTCAAGTGACTTACCCAAGGTCACACAGGAAGTCCATAGCAAGACTCAGTCTCAATCCATTTTTAATCCTCAGGACTACCCTTGCATTTGGCTTGATCTAGAGCCTTAAAGGGAAAGAATAGTTTTGTCATATGGTAGTTACTATTCCTTTCAGCTTAATTGTTTAAGTTCTTTCATATATATTGGAATATTTTTGGTTTCAGCAAACAAGTGGCAAGAAGCAAAACTCAATTTTGTCTTTAGCTATTTTTGGTTGGTATTAAGATAGCATTTTTACTGGTGATGTTTCCTGTCTTCATAGTCTATGAAATGGTGTACCAGAGAAGTAGAATGTTGTCTTCTGGTGTGTTTTGTATTCCCAAATCTTAAGTTCAGTGATGCAAGGGTAGACAAAAATAAATCACATCAGGAGGGAATTAGTTAAAGACTGCATTGACATCAAAACCCCTGCTGGGATGTGGAGAGTTTTAAAGGGGGCTGTTTTCTTGGAGTTTAACATCTGGGCAGAAATTATTTCATCAGATGTTGCTTTTGTTGTGACAGTAATGACTAAAGAATAGTCTCAGTGTATTACTGGTATTTCTAATATTTGAAAATGGTATGTTGGTAAAAAAGCATAAGTCCTCCTCAAAACAAAAATTTCCCAGAAACATGTGTCAGGCCTGGGTAAGTCAAACACATGCAGGTCTAGGTTTTACCACCACAGCTGTTTGTCACAGGTGGAGCTGTGTGGGAAGTGGCTGTGGGTGCAGGTGGGTGCTGCTCCTGCCTGGGCAGCGTGAGGCAAAGGTGGGTGTGAAGAGTGTTCTCATATCTTGATTTGTGAAGATGTGGTTAGCTCCAGTCATGAGATGCTGCAATACATCAGTTTGGGTAGGGATTCTTTCCTGCCGAGGGAAATGCTATTTGAAGTCTTCAGTTGTTAAAAAAAAATAAAAAATGGACAAACCCCTAAGCAAAGGTTGGAGAGCAGAGGTTTGTATGCATGAATGCTGGATGGGTGAGGCAAAGCCTCAAGTGTATGGGGAAGGCGGGAGAGTGGAATAGGTAGGGGAGTAGTCTGTTTCTCACTGAAGGTCTGATACCTGATTTGTGATGCACCTTGCTGGCCTTTCAGGGAGGAATGTCTTTGTTTGCTGCATGGGAAGAACACAGCAGTAAATAGCTTTGACCTCAGTTGGCTGGGTGATGCCTTGAAATACTGGGATTGTTGTTGAGTTCTGTAGGGGGCTTCATGAATGTATTGTTTTGTAATGCTTTCTACTTCCATGTTATGTTGGCAAGTTTTTAAACCTTTTATAAGACATTACCTCTAACACTCTTCGTTGTTTTTTTTTAAGCTAAACATTATGGGCTCATTTATTTCTAAGTCATGCTTGCTTTTCTGGTTGTCCAGTTCCTTGCATCTTATTTTATTGTGGTTGGCAAAAGTAACAAAAACTTGATATTTTAAAGAACTGTTCACAGTTGCAACTTTCTAACCTTTGTGACCATTTCTTTTAAGGAAAGACTGGAGTTGCTTTTATTTTTCCTATTGTTAAGTTAATATATTTATTTTAAATATGTTTATTTAATAATCTATTTATCTCTTTCTTGCATAGATAAATAATATTCCTGAGTGACAGCCAAGGAGAATGGGAAGCCCAGTCAAGAGCAGTGAGATTTGATGGATAAAATACTAACTCCAGTTAAATGCAGCATAGCTTTATAAATTTATTTCAGTACTCCTGAGAAAAATACTACTTCCATCACACAGCATGTAAGCACCTTTCAGGCAGTAAAAATGTATGTACTGAGTCTTCCTGTATCTTGGCCTGTACATCCAATTCCTTATGTAAGTACCTGGCAGCTTACATTCATATGTTAAGAGGATAGGTGATGGTATAGTAGAAAGAAGAAACTTCTTAAATTTTTATCTGTGTGTGGAGCAGCAGAATTAAGATGTTTCAGTTGGGTAGTGCTGAACATATTAACTGGGTTTCTTTAGACTTGTACATTTGTCCCCAGAAGGGACAGTAGAGAAGAAAGGAGCCTTTTCTACTTTGCCTCACTCTTATTGTCTCAGAAACCATTACTGTAATGTAACTATATCTTTTATTTTAACATGCTTTTTCAGAGCAACAGAAGTTAACTAAAAATATGCTTTCTCATTTTTGAGAAGTCAGTACTATTTGAAAGCAGCCTGTTTCAGTTCTCTCCTTTTCAGCTGTCATTCCCAGCTGTCACAATCTCCTTGATGTGAGGACTTTACCCCCGTTGTTTCAAAGAAGTTTGGTTAACAGCTGCTGTCACCCAAAGGTTAAAACCTGAAAATGGGCATCCTTTATTGGCTTCCTTACAAATATTTGGTTTCTGTTTGGTAGCATCTTGCTTGTTGCTCTCCGTTCAATGTGTTCCATTTATCCTATTTTTGGAGAACTGTGTAAAGCAAATGAACATGTCTAATGATGAATGTATTCTTTGGGATGTGGTAAGGTGCTTAATTATAACTGAAAAAGAGAGCAAAAAAAATTATTTGCTGTGCTGAAATGACATTGCATCCTGTTCACTTGGTATCTGTGAATATGAGTAGCAGCTCTTCAGTGAAAGGACATGTAAAATTAGTTCTTTAAACACCAAGAACCCTCTGTGATATTGGAGTGTATCAGAAAGAAAAGAAACAACTGTTCCTTAATTAACTGCATGGTATACTGTAGTTCTTTTGATGCAGATATCCTCTCTTTCTGCAACTCTTCGATTCTTTAGCTTCTCACAGGTCAGGTGATAGATCAGGAACACTGGAGGAACTGGCAAGATCATTGGAGATAAGTGAGTTACAAACCTTGCCATTCACCATGATCCTGAGAGTGACTTTCATGGACAATACTTGAAGTAAAGGGGTTAAGAGTCTGATGTGGTAGAGAGTATTTTTACCTATGAGCTAGTGTGCCTGTCCTTGTTAGGATCAAATGCTAGTTGGGCCAGTGATGCTAGAGAACACCTTCAGTTATTGTGCTATAAAATGTTTTCATCATTTCAGCAAATATCCCTTTCCCAAATCTCTTTGATACGCAGCTGACAGACAGTGAGGGCAATTTTCTGTTCTATTTTGTAGGCATCCATCCACAGATGTGTACATGGAAGAAAGCAAAATGATATTACAAAACATCACAAATGCAGCACAATTTGAAAAAAAGGAAATCTATTCCATCTGAAAAAAGGGCAAAATAAAGAACAGAAAAATCATGCCTTAACTACAAGACTTAAGTTGATTTTTGTTGAACTGGTAGATCCCTAAAGAAGCAGGTTGGGCTTTTTATTTGTCTGTTTTCCTAACACCTTCCTCCTCACCTGAGCTAACATAATTTTTATTAATGCCCAAAAGCATCAGGGAGATGATTTGTCCCTTTTTCTAAGATGCGCTTGTCTTCAAACAGTTTTTCTTAATGCCTTGAGGTATTTTTGCCTTGTGTGCTTCCAGGTATGTATCAGATTTTCCTTCTTCACACCTTCTAGTCCATTTTGTAATTGCTCTTAAGTTCCTGTAAGCTATTTACTGCAAGCCATGTTAAGTCTTAGACTGGAAAAGGAGATACTGTTCAGAATCTGTAACCTGGTTAATCTTGTACTCTGTCTCTCCATAGCCTTTCCTTTGCAGTATTTCTGGCACAGCTATTTGGTTAAGTCAAGCAAAATAGAACCAGTCTCACCCTACTGGATTCATTCTTATGCTATTGTTCACAGGAAGGACCTAGGTACAGTTTGCCTGGTAAAGAGCATGAGGTGGTGAATAAGGACTTTGAAGCAGATTTGGAGCTGTAATGACTGGCTTCCTTCCCTGCTGCTGTCCCTTCCCCTTCCTTGCTAAGCATTTTCATTTGAAATACTAAGGTGTGGTCATCGGGCATAGCTGTTCTCAACTTCCAGTAATTTTTTGCTCACTACTGAGCTGCACCATAATTACATATGCAAATGTAGTAATTTTTTTTCCCTTCTTACCTTGTACATGTGGAAAAGGAAGATAAGGTTGCAGAGTTCTGTCGGGGAGGTGCTGCTATTGAGGAGGTACTGCAGATGGCTGCAGGAGACAAGTACTGGACCTGCAGGACAAGGCTCAGCAGGGGATTTCAGAACTTCCAATATCTGAAAGGCAACAAGAAAACAGTCTTCTTGCCAACTTTAGATAGGATCAGATTGTAGGATGGCTTGTTGTAACAACCTATTTTGATACATTCTAGCTACTGAATGCTGAAAGTTAATTTGCATTTCCAGTATGGATTTGTTTTGTAGACATATATGAATCTACATCCGTCTATGTATGTATATCTGTAGTTAAATCCAATAATTTAATCTTTTAGACTGGCTTGGATGCTCCCAGTAGTAGCACAAGGTAGACTTCTGTTCATAAGTGTTGTAATGATTGTAAAACCACAGAGATGAATTCTGTAGAACAGACTATTCTGACAATTTCTGCCCTTCATGGTAAGGCTTACCTTGTACATTTTCCAGATCTGGAAGTGACATACTGTATTCCTGGAACACCGAATGTGATTTTGAGCAAATATTGGAAGATGGAATTGGTTCTATAGTGCAATCAAAATGCTGTGAGGCTTTCTGCACAAAAGTGAAATAATACCTTAGAAATGAGAAGCAGAATTTAATTGGTAGTTGTGGCAAAGGAAAGGGGAAATAGTTGCAGTGTCACATCACGCAGGATAACATGCCATAGTTCTGTTTCACCACGTGATTAATCTTGCCTGCATAGTTCATGTAGTAGTTATGTGATGGAGACCAACACCTTAAAAAGATGAGCCTGGCTTTTTCCTCAGCATGTGAGTGAATAAAACTAGTGGCAGATTTTCCATTTCTGTGAAGTAAGCCAGTTCACAAAAGGAGAATTTTAACTTTCCAACTGTAAAGGATACAAATAAACCTAGGCGAATAAAAATCATCAGACACAGCAGGGGTTTATTATCCCGACAGAAAATTCTTATGAGATGTCTGATGCAAACTGCCGTCTGTGGATCTGATGCTTCAAAAATATTTTTGGCAGTAGTGCTTGTGACAGTGCTAAGATGCTTTCCTTCAGAAGTGAAATAAAGTAAGGTGGTTAAGAACTCCAGTAAATACGGCTATTTTCTTTTCTTTAGAAGTTGCAAGCCTTTGCCATGTATTTATGTCACATGCCTGGAACAAAATAATTTAAAAACTTCCTGTTGTGCACTACTGTATGCAGATCATTTCATTGCATTTGTTTTTTTCATGTGTATGGTGTCACAATACTTCGGCATATAGAAAATATATACAGCTTTTTAGAAAAGAGTGAGTTGTTTTTTGAGTTGGTAAAAAAACAGAAGAGCTGAAATTGGAAGGTCATAAAATGTCTTGTTCTAATAGTTTACAGTTTCCTGTATTTAGCTCTTATTTCATCTTTCTGACTTTTGATAATATTTTAAGCACTTTGAAAGTCTCCTATTCCAAATTCTCAGAACAAAAATGTTTGTGACTGTTCAAGTTCCAAGATGTTCGCTTACAGTGTAAAGTCTCCCAGGTTTGTGCCTTAATGTATCTTAATAGGCATCCTAATTAAGCTTTTTATCCCTTAAATGTTTCCCCAACCTGTCTACCTTTAAAGAATTCATGTGTCTTCCTTCAACCACAGTTTTAAGTAGGACTGTCAATCCAATGTGTGTCTTGTTCATTTTTGGGTCTACTGTCAGAACACTTTGTAGCTGAAGTGTGTGTGCGCATGTGCAGCTGCATGTGCTGTTTTCCTGCCTTTTCCTTTTGTCTGTCAAGCTTCTGGCTGATAGCAGATTAGCCATCTGAATGTGGGCAGCAAAGAGTAATGGGCTGTACAGAATGCCTGGGGCTTCTTGCATACAATAAAATGACTCCATTATAAAGCAAAAAATGACAAGTTTGCCATGGAAGATGTCTGTACTGGGGAGATGGAGAGTAGCCTTTGGTTTATGATCATCTTAATGGGTGTAAAATAAATTTAATTTTTTTTTAACCATCAAAAATATTCCTAGGTGCTTTACGGAGCATTGCTGATGGTTCTAGCAGGAAAATACTTATGAGCTAAATTGCTGATGTACTACTTGCTATTCCTGATTGCTGTATATGTGTGAGGGAAGAAAGGGAGTAACAGCATGATGGCTCAGTTTAATTTTCATCATGCAGGTGTGTGTGTTTTTTTCCTTTCTTTTCAATTTTTTTATCTCTAATGTTTTGCTTAGTTACAGGATTACATAATCTGCCCTGCAGAACTGTGTTAGGTTTATGAAGTCTTTTGGAAGATGTGCTGATACACATTTGAAGGAAATTGGGCCAGGAACGTGGCTGAGATGCAGGGAATCCAGATGCTGGAGAAGGACATGAAATATAAAGCTGTAGAGAGTTGGATCATTGTCAGTAGAAAAATGAAGCTGTGTGCAGAGGCATAGTAGCAGGAAAACTAGCAGGGAATCTTATCAAGTTTTTTTTGACAGCTCTACTTGCCTGTTTTAAGAATTTGGTGTTTAAAAAGCCCTCTTGATTGTCTACAGTTTACCGTGTCAGTAAGCAGTAGTGGCTGCTTGTGCACTTCTAAATTCCAGTTACAGCTCTCAAGAAGATTTTTTGTTTGTTTTTATGGCATTCAAGCTCTAAAAGGTGCTCTCCCCTGTAAAAAAAAAAAACAACAAAACAGGTGCAGTATGTTAATTTATGCTAAATGGAAGATCTTCCTGGTTTGCATCTGCTCAGGAAATTAAGACAGCTGATATATATGAGCTTCCAAGCTAACTGGCAAGTCAGGATAAAAGCAATTTGGTATATAGAATATGCATGTATTGTTAAAAAATGGAAAACTTGTCTTAAAATGCTTGATTAAACATACCTCTTAACTGACATTTGGTGTGGTTTGTCTTGCTTGTTGTAGTCTGTTCAATATGTCGTGATTACTGCTGAAGTGGACTCTGGAAATCTATGCTTTAGCAGCAAAATGTATGAATTGTGACGTTTAATAAATAAAACGGGAATACTGTTTGAACAAGCATTATTTTTCTCATTCTGTTAGCTCCTGCCAGGTCTCCCTGTGACTGGTCTGGATGAGGATGCTGTTTGTTGTAAGGATCATGTCCTTTGACAATCTCCTTTTGGCTACATATTGCACACCAACTTTCCCCAGTCTCTTGGATTGACTTGCCTTAAGCAAAAACCCTTCCCAAAAATTTCTGCTCCCTTCCTGTCCTCCAATAAAGTCTGCTGCCCATTGCCTCCTTCCCCTCTCCCAAGGAAAAGGAAACAACCGAAACTGATTATACCATAAAGCTCCACAAATGCTGCTCCCTTGACAGCAGTATTAATTCTCTTTACATACATTTTTATTTTGCATTCAGAATTGTTTCTATAATCATATAACCTTTTTATGGTGCTGAAGACTGTAGCTTCTTAGCAAGGAAGCTGGTGATAAAACTAAAGCTCAGTTAACTATCTCTAACAGTGGGTAGTATGTAACTGGTGACAAATAAAATACATTCCACACTAATTTAAGAGAGATCTGTGGGGTTTTTCTTGTCTCCTCTTTCCTTGCCTCATGTGATTGCTGTGGTTTACAGTAGGAAGCCACTAGTTTCTGCAGTCACAGATGGAAAGGGAGATGTATTCATAGGTAAATGATGTAAAGACATCTGAGTAAGAGTAAGAAAGTGAACTCTCTTAGGGGGGAAGGAGTTTGCTACATATTTTACAAATCTTTCAACATCTGTGACTTAATTGACACTCCTGAAAGCAGTGTGTTGCACATTAATGCAGCTTAGGAGAGCTGCATTTATGAATATGAATAAAAAGATCTAGACCTGTTCTTGTCTTTTATAGGATTTTCACAGTTGTACAGCAGACTGAGAAGGGTATTGCCTTTGACTGACCTGGTGGCAAGGCTACAGTATCGTGCCAAGGCTTGTTTTCAGGACAGATATGGAAAATTGCAGAAGAGCAGAGTGGCAGAACAGTTGAAATATAATCTTCACTTAGCCAGAAGAAACTGTGGAAAATGGGAGTTTTATTATCTTAAAAGTATTTAGGTACAGAAAAAATACTAGTTTGGTGGACAGTTTTACCTGTGGTTTTCTGTGTTGTTTAAGGTGAGATGGTGGTATAGCTGACTCAAACAGCATATTATGAGGAAAGTTTGCAGATATGAAAGGATCTGTGCTAATATATTTCAAACATCCATAGAAAAAGCCTTATGATAGGATATATACCATTGAGGGATGGAGTGGGGTGTGTGGAATCCAGTGTCCTTGCTTCCTAGAGTTGAATGCTTGCTCTTCATTAAGTGATATGGTATGTCAGTCTGCCTGACCAAGCAGTACAGTTTCTAAATGTCCCTTTCAGACAAATTCACTAAAACCAGGAATTTTTGGGAACTTTCTGGGTCCTGCTAGTACCTGTTAGTTTGGAAGTAAACATTTGGTTAACGAGTATGGTTGAAGTTTTCTATTTAAAAATACACTAGTAAAATATAATCCTAGTACTAATAAACAAGATGACCCCTCAGTTATAACAGCCTTTGGGTTGATGCTTAAGTTCTCTTCATAATTTTTTTGTTGTCAAATACTAGTACAGCAGGTTTGGAATCCTGAGTTTAGGACTTGTTAATTTAGAGTACCAGCTGCAGAGCTATGAAGTGTCTGAATTTGCATGGGGCAGAAACTTGTAAATCTATATTTTTTAGGTTTCAAAGGTAACCAGTTCAGAATATTCATTGCTAGATTTAATTCAAACTACAGCATATTTTAAAACTATTCAAAGAGATGGTCTTTTGCTGATTGGAGTGAGGAGGATACGGACGGAACTTAGCGTCTCCTCTGTAAAGCATCTAGTGTACAAACTATGAATTTACAGAAGGCCTTGTGCAAACAGAGGTGCAATGCTTGTCACAAAATGAGATGCCTGGAAAATGCAGGCCTGGAAGGTGCTGTATCCTTCACCTTTTGTCCCCCCACCTCAGTTTTCCTGTTGTGAACCGTAGTGGCCAGCCCTTGCCTTAAGCTTTGACCAGCACAATACTATTAGATGTGGAAGCTCACAGGTTTACGGTGATTTGCTCTTGCTCCCTACTTCAGCCCAGAACCACACAGTTTACCTGTCTTTTAATTCTCTGCTGTTTTTCTTAGAACAGATTTGTTTCTGCAGTAGACAAGTTAGGGTATGTGAAATATTGTTTGTTGCCATCTTTTCTATGTGTTGTAGGCTCTGTGTGAATCCTGGTGACTCCAGCAAATATGAAAAAGAGTCTTTTAGATGTGCTGTATAGACAGATGTTATAGAGCCTCATGGTTTTTTCCTTATTCTGGAATGGAATAGTTCTTAAAAGGAGTTAAATGAGTCAGTGCAATATTCTCACTCCTGGATGAAGTAGTGAATCCTGTCATGCTTATCTAGCTGTCCAAGAATGTCAAGATTTTAAGATGTACAGAGCTACAGTGTTTATTTTCCTCCATTCTTCCCCTTCTTCCAAGCAAGACTGTTTTAGAGATGGGAAAATATGCTACCAAAAAAAGCCAAATCTATGTTTTTCAGCTTAAATAAAACATATGATTATCTCTGCTGTAATAATAGGTGGTTTAGGTTTCTTGGAGTAAATCATGCAGTTCTGGAAAACCTATGTGACTATTACAGGGTACTTCAGTGGACAGTCTCTGATACAGTTGGGAACTCTTTAATTTGGGTAACTTGCAGAGACTGAAATGTAATCCTCAGCTGATCAGCCTGCAGCGTATGAGAAGGAGTGTCAAGTTCTGTTTTGGAGGAAGCATGTATTCAAAATCATTCAGGTTAATTCACTTGTGCTTGCCCTTAGATTTCCTTTTGATGTTGACTTGTAATGGTGTTCTGCAAAACTATACAGCCAAAAGCATGTTGATATTACTGCCTTGGGTGTTACTGATGAGACTAATCTTTACCTCTGATTCTATTTTTTGTTTCGTTTTTTAAGGTTTTATTAACTGAGTCTTATTTCTCTGTATGTCACAGATTCCCAAATTAACTGATAGCCATCACAGCCATCTACAAAACTCAGAATATTGTAAAACTAGTAAGCAACTGGACCAACATGACAAATCTGTTTGCTTACACAGCATGATAGAAAAGGAGGGATTTCTGTACCATCTTAAACACAACCTGCCAGGCATTAGGAAAGCAATGTGCTTTGTTCACAGCGGGGGACAGAAGGGATTTGGAGAGAAGTGAGGCCTGCATTGCCTTGTGATGCTTGTGTTGTCATCCTCACGTGAGAAAGAATAAGTGTTTTTTTAGTCATCTCTCCTGTATCAAACCCTCTAGAAGTGTTATTTTTGCTGTTTTTCTCTATTTCTGCAAGTGGGACACTCATGGAAAGCCTACATGTAGTTTTCCGTTTAGGCTTGGGGGCTCTGGAACAAAATATTCAGTCTTTGAGGTCATGTCAATCTTCTACTTTTAATGGAATCTTAGTTATTCATGTGGGAAAGATGCAGATGAAGAAGTCATACTGAGCATCTGCAGGATTCAGGGGGGCTATTTCCTTAGCCAAAAAAGAACAATCATATTTTGTGCTTCTTTGAGAAGTGGTTTTTTTCCCCATTTGTCAAAATAATAAAGACTGTCTCCTGCCCAAGGGTTATTTAAATTGATGCCCTAGTGTTTGAGATGAGAGCATGTAATGTAACTAATTCCTGTCAGTTAATGGCGTGTGTCCCACTAAACACAGCCCTCTTGCTGCTGCCTTGAGAAGCAGTTAGCTGGGCAGTCCCATGTCTGCTGATACCAAATTGTATGCTTTTGGTGGAAACCGTGAGGAACAGAGGCTGTGTTTTAGCAGATGCACTCACAATGCTTTGGCATAGGAGCTAGAGGTGGTAGTAGCAGGAGATGTTGGTGCCTTACTCTTCAGCTTGGGGGAGTCTGGGTTGCTGACAAAGTGACAGAAGCATGTCTGATTGCCAGCTTTGGTAAGCCAGCATCCTTATGTGAAACCATCTCCTGTAATAAAGTGAGGTTTGTAATTCTCTCAAGTTAAGACATCTACTGATGTCTACTGGTGGGAAAATGCTATACTATTTGTGAGACGTAAAGAAATAGAGTTGTTCCTAGGAAAACAGTGCCTCAGGAATACCGCAGTTTAGGGTGTAGACCTCTTCGTTGGCAGTAAAAACAAATAACAACTTGCTTGCTGAACTGTGACCTGTTTTGGAGTGACAGTCTTGCAGCTTGCTGAATCGACAGCTGGGCTTGCCACTGTGCTGCCTGGAGCTGAGAGCGAGCTTCACAAAGGCTTTGGAAGAATACATTTGTTTTCCTTCACTGTTGTTATTTCTCAGCAGGTTTTCAGTTGCTGCTCCCCCACTTTTAGTAGCCCTGAAACTTCCCAGCCTGCTACTGTTTCAAGTTGGTTTCTTGTGTGCCTTCTTTAAATATCCTTAATGGCAGCTGGAAGACTCAAATATTTGAGGAACTAAGAAAATCAATGATAAGTTATTTGATAAAGCTTTTTGAGCTCTCTGGTTTAGCTAAGTGATTTAAATGTGACTTTTTTTTCCGGTTTGAATCAACTAATTAACCTCTAGTTAGGTAAAAAAAAACCTGTGGGTTTGTTTTTTTATGTAAAGAGGGAAGGATATAAATGGTTTGGTTAGACCTTCTTTCTAATAATAATTCAATATTCTGCAGATGAGTTATATGAGTTGACATGAATCTGGCTAAAAAGGAAAATGATCCATCTTTTCCAGATGAGGTAGTGCCAATTGTGAGGATTAAATGTTCATGCAAAAATTATATTATCTCTGAGCTAAATTTTGCTAAACATGCATGACATATTTTGCTGGCATAAACTGTATGTCAGTGTTTGTGGCAATGGGGGTTTAAAC